ACCCTGACTTGAGACAGCTGCAAAGACTGAGCTGATGTGATGTGGAGCAAACCCTGACGTCTCCAAACAACAAACCAGAAACCCTAATGTGGAAACAGAACAAAATCCTTCCTGACGACTAAATCATTTGACTGGGGATACTGAACCATGCTTTTCTAAAGGGCTTCAGAAAGGCTTAGACATCTCTTTTTAAAGGATTTTGTGGACAAGAGGAGAGCTCTGCTCCATTATTTCTGGACTGAAATTTAGGCCCAGCTGAGGAAAATGAAACTCTGCCTGATTTCTGTGGGATTGTGTTTCTGATTTTAGTTTCTAGCATGGCCTGCCCTGGGATTGTGTGAGTTTTTCAGTCATCTGTGATGTCGGTGAAAGTTAATTTCTGCCAAAAAATTTGTTGAATGACATTTCTTCCTGTAATAAGGACTGTAAGAGGCATAGAAATAGGACTAGCAGGGTACAGAAAAAGGAAAGCACATTTTATGGTCTCTCAGACTATTTCTCTGCATAGCATTGCAGGAAAAACTCTTCAAGTCCCCAATACTTTGTCTCCCACCAACTATCCAATATGTATAACTTTTTTTTTTTGGTGGTCCAAGACTGTCAGCAGCAGGAGCTGAAACTGAGATGCTCACGGTACATTTAGGAGAGCTGTCAGCTCTGCCTAGGTACAGCAGAAAGGTGCAGCCCTCGGTGGCCGGATCACAGACACAGAAGGCGTTCTTGCTGTTGCTGGCACGTTTTTAAAGGAGGAACTTGACTTGAGTCCAAGTTTTAGTTCACACATGGCTTGAGCAGAGCACAAGTGGGGTTGGCTGTACCCTGGCATAGAGGTATGCCGTGGTCTTTGGTGGTAGCAGTGTCCTGCTGTGCGTCTCAGTTCAGCTCGGGTTGCTTCCTACTCCAGCATAGCTGCTAAATGAATTAATTTACATCAATGTCCTGCAAAATGGATAATTTCAGCATATGTTATGTTGCATTTTACTTTCCCCCTGTAGCTTTTTAAATGTTCTAATGATTTTTTTTAAAAAATGCTTACTTTTGAAAAACTTAATTAAATTAAAGCAGCATCTCTCAGCACTGTATGTTCCTGGGAGGATTTGGTTACCAAGATGATAGATTTCCCGACAGATATTGGCACCTAAAAGTTAACAGATTACTTTTTTTTTAATACCTTTCCTTTCTTCATGTAAATCACTTAGGGCAGGCTGGCATTTATCTACAGTCTCTCATGGGACTGGAGCAGAGCTACCAATTCATGATGCAGAATACCAAAAGAAGTCCCAGATCAGTTTGTTTCAAATTTCTGTCTAAAAGCACATAGGAGAGCATTTCCTAAGCCAGCTGTAGGAGAAGCTGCATTAACTCTCTGAACCCTAAGGCAGTTGCAGGTTTATTTAGGATTGTGGGCTGTAGCACTCCCACCAACGCTCCTGGTCGCTTTGCAAAGCTGATCAGCATTTTCTAGCCACAAAGTGATATATGTGCCCTAGAAAATATCTCATACAGGTGTGTGTGCAAATAAATTCAAAGTCATGGCAGTGACATCCAAGAGCTTGGAAGAGCAGAATAATGTTTACGTGGATGTTTCTTATTTCTTTGTAACTTTTATATTCCCAATGTTGGGACTCTCTCTGAGAAGTAAACATGTGGTAACTATTGTGGATAGTTACAAGTACCTCCTGTTGATATATTGGGTATAAAATCTGGAGCCATACAATAGACTGGAGGATTCATCCACTGTTGGAGGGTTGGCTGCTATAGGAAGACCTTGGAAGCCCCATATGCTGTTATTGCCTGTGAGGGCAGATGCTCCTTATGGCTGGTTGCTGGCTCACACATAAACTGGAACATGCTGCCTGCTGAAAGTGGAACCAGTGACAAGTCTTTCGTAATTCATAACTGTGTACTTTGGCAAAAAATTATCAGCAAGAATTTTGTTGACAGTTGACTGTGACAATTGTTGTGCAAGTGCTAATAAGCTACTGGGAAGATGTGTTATAAGCACAGCAAAACTTTGAGCACTGTTAAAATTAGATAAAATTAACAAGGTAGCTAATTTGATTACTATTTTATTAATAAACATTTAAATAATGCTGTAAGTTTGCACAGTGAGAGCGTCATTGCCCTGAAGAGATTACAGTCTAAATAGTCCCTGTTAATTACAATCTAAACAGAATAGCATTAATTATACACAAAATTGGAAGATTGCATGTGAGCTATGATTCTCACGGTTACTATCCGTCTGAGCAAAGTTACCAAATGAAGTTTTAGTCTGCTTTTGCAACATTTGCTTGTAAAATCTCTTCTCCTTCTCTGAGCAACTTTAAGAGAATAATATTTTCTTCTGTGAAGAGCAAGATAGAGTTGTTCCAACTACCAGCCTTCTAGATACAGGGGTCTGAGAAAACATTTAGACTTCTGTCAGTAGTTTTAATTCAAGCTTGAAGTCATTGTTTCCAGAACCTCCTACAAAGATGTATGAGCACGGTGCACGTGCTCTGCTGCATTCGTACTGAGTCCCCCTCGGGCTGCCTGTTCTGCTTCTCATGGTGACTGGCATGGTTCGGGAATAATGAGGTGTTGCTAAAATACTTCTTTTGCATGAGCAGGCAGCTTTTGGGTATAAAGTGTACAAATAATTTTAGACAGCGTAGCCTTCTGGTTAGCCTCTAAAGGGAGGATTGTATGTAATCAAGTATAAGAAAAAACTCAGATCCAGGAACGCTAGTTTTTACTAAATCTATCACAACACGCAGCAAGTATCCTTTTTGCCTGTTGAATTATACAGTCCTGTTTATTTCATAACATGAAGTTAAGTGACTATTGTTTTTCAGATGGATTGCTAATGTATACTTTGTTCAAGTTCGGGAACCATGTATTGTTCTCCTAATGCTTATTAAACATTAATATGTTGGAACAGAGAGATGTTTCAGATTTATGACAATTACTCTTACTTGAGCTGTTTGTACCCTCCTAATGTCCTTGGTTTGCTGCTCTTCACAATTAATCTGTGACCTGTTTCCCTAAGGAAAACTAGTGAAACATTTCATAGCATTTTATGACGTTGTTTTATGTTCTTTCCAAGTCTTGGAATCAGCTAATGGTGAAAAATTTGAAGACAAAAAAAATATGTGAAAAATAAACAAACTAAAGTTCCTTATCCAATTTTAGAGCTGCACTCACTTGATAAATGCTACCATACAGTCTGTAGTTTCTGCTGAAAATTGTCAAACCCCCTTTGAGAATTTGCAGAAGCTTAGCTCCTTTAGGACTGGGCAGAGTTTGGTCTTGATGATTAGAGCAAATAATATTTTGATTTGCATAGTTTATATTGTTGTCTGTAAATAATGACAATGAAAAACACTTATGTCAAGTATTCAAAGAAAGCAGAGATGAAATGAAAAATTTTATATATGCTTTTTAGCTCCTTGTAAAACCAATTTTCCATTTGTGAAAGAAACACTTAGGCAGTTGCTTGGATTTTCTGTAGGCTCTGAGGCAAGATGCAAGACCTGGGTTCAGTTCCTTGTTGTCCTGCATGATTTTGGCATAGTTGTCTTGCTATCCCTTCCTCTCTTCCATATTACAAACGGGGGATATGCAACAACCTTTGGTGACAAGAAACGCTCTGAAGGAACGCATGGTTCTCTAACCGCAAGCATGTTAGAGAAGCTAAAACTCTAGAGAGGACATGCATGGAGTCCTGTGTGCTCAGCGCCATGTGGTGCTGAGCTGCTGGGCCTGATTCAACATTTAAACCCGTTCTTTACTGGAGCACAAGACTAATGCCATTGGTTCCAGTGAAGTTAAAAGTATGTGTCTAAGTAGTTGCCTGGATTGGGGCCAGCATTCAGTCTTATCCTGGCCAGAGCCCTAAATAAACAATCTAGTATCAGAGAAAACATTTGCACATGTGGATGTGATTTGGCTGTTTCTGTGGCATTGGCTTGTTGTTTTCTAAGTTGTGCTGGAAATGTTGGTCTATTTAAAATGCTAACAATTTCTTGCCTGTTGTGTTAAAATTGACTGCGCTCCTGGTGCACAGGCTGAAAGAGGGTGGGTCTAAATCACTGGTGGTGTCTGCGATGCTCAGTGCTGACAGACACAAGACACTGTACTCTGTTTGCATTCACTCTGCTTTCCTGTTTGTGCTGTTGCAAAGCGCCCAGAAATTTTCTGAGGTCCAAGTTAGTGGCAGTCATCATGTTTCATTCAGAAGCTAACTCTTCAAGCACATTTTTGCAGGGCAGAGCATTGTAAACAGAGATGCCATTTATAATATTTTTTGTCTTAATGCAAAATCTACAATAATATGTCAAATTTCCAGCAGGGAAATTGAAAAAACAAATATAGACTTTTACTACATCTCCTATTAAAGATGTTATTTGAAAAAATATTATGTGTTTTATGAAGGTTTTTGGTAAGCAATGCAAGATTGAAATCTGTGTAAATGAAGGAAAGGTAATAAAAAAAAGCATTTGTATTTAAAGGAATTGCAAATATGGCTACTACATAAGCATGAAACCCTCTCAAAAATATGTCACTTAGGAGAATGTTATGAATTAGAAATGAGAAAACAAACCAGGTAATTCACTTGGTGCTATAAGGAGATGTATTCCTGCAGCTACTCCAGATGAGAACCCCATTACAGTCCGCAGGCCTTTTTGGCAGGGCACTGATGTCCTTCCTTATCTCTATGTTCTGATGCTGAGAGTTGCAGAGCACCTTGAATGCCTTCTGAAGTCAACTAGAGATTGATAAGTATCATCTTGTAGATTTAGCCTATTAAGATTTCATAGACTTCCATGAAAGTGTCTATAAGATTAAACCCCAAAATTTTTGCATGACAAAACATTGAGGTGACAATCTGGTGTATGAGCCACCTGATACTTATCTGAATTCAGGCTACCTTCTTGTATGTGCATGCTAATCTTTACATTTAAGTATAACAGAATTATAGTGGACATCTCACTACTTTATTTGGTTTCCCCCCGCTTTAGGCTGCAGCTTCCAATGGATCAGAAGGATCTGGACAATGTGGCGAACACAAGGAGAACCAGAGTTCTGAAAATTACGTGGTAGACATGAAGGCAAAGGTATGGTTCACTCTTTTGTGATGGAAAATGAAATTCTTATTTCGTCAAGTTTTAATGGAGGTGAAATGTGTAGAATATATTGAATTTGAGCTCCTGCAGTCATTTTTTTGCTGCTTAATGACTGCATGTACATCACAACATTTGAATGAGTCTTACGGCTGCTATTTATTGCTGTATATTGCTAGCCCTGTGCATTTTGTGCATTTTATGCGGTCCTAGGCAGGATTTACTTTTTATGTAAAAATATTGTTAATATCGGTGATGGTTCTACAGGATTGCTGATCTCAAGATGTTTTCATTTTGGTGTATTTTCGAAGTCCGAGGTGTTGCACAGTTAGTAAATTTTATTCAAGGTCTTTTCAGTCTCTCAGTATGCGTTGTAGTTTATTTTTGGTCTGGAGTCAGTAGGGAAGAATATGAATGTCAGTGAAGTGATGATTTTTGTATGGGCAGTCTGATGATATCTGCCATAAAACTATGCTTAATAATATACAAAACAATATGACTTCATGGCTGTGGTAAAGGGGTCTGTTACACTTCTCTTTTTAATGGTCTTGCTGCTTGCAATGGTGAAGTTATAAGTGTTTCATTATAATATCTCCGTTATTTTCATAGGTTCACAACTTGGCTGGAATAATTGTCTTGGGCTTAGATATTATTATGTAGGCTTTCAGCCTTGAAGTCATTGTGTATTTTTTCTTGTCTAAGTGAAAGAAAATTATTAAGTTTTCTCTTAAAGTTAGCAAGCTGGAAATGTGATGAAAAGAAAACAGACATTAACTGAGTTGGCATGCTTATGTGATACCTTGTAGACTTTAGTGAAAATTGTTTCTAACAGTGGAAACTTGCAGATTATTCCTCTTGTCTAAGGCTTTTCCTTGGGCTTTGTTTACATTTCTAGATTGATTTCTCTGACTGTTAACTTTTCAAGATCTAAAGAACTAATTGTCTAGCATGGCTTTCTGAGTTTCTTGTGTTGCCGCGTTCCCGGTTGATCAGGAAAACTTTTGTACCGTATAGGACCATGGTGCTAGTTAAGAGTTGAAATATAAGAACATGTATACTCATTGAAATTTATATTTATGAAGAAATTATTTCCTCAAAGAAAGGAATTATCAAAAGCTTGATATATATACCCTAAATATGTTGTGTCCCTGAGGATGTTATAGAAATCGTGGGATGTAGTGTCTCAGCCCAATTTCATGATATAATTTCCAGTATGAATGCCCAATTGGACAATGCACCATCTTCCCTATGTAGAGCCATGATACTGTGAACTGAACTCAATGTTTCTCCGTCAGCAATTCTATGTACTGCATTTTCATGCTGTTTGTAGCTGTCCAGCACAAGGTGTACCTAAGAGAAACTCCAAAAATTGGTAATTCCATTGCTAAACTCTAAGATGTTCAGAGCTGTGAGTGGTATTTTCTTCAGTTCCCAGTACCATGGGATAGCAGATAGTAGATGTTTTGTTTTCATTTCCTGGAACTTGTGGTTTAGTGTGTCAGTTCATTTGAAAGAGTCATTTTGTCTGATTTCTTTTTCAAGTGACTATGCTTGAGTGTCAGTGGTATGCTGCTATGACAGTGACACATCACTATTTAGGACTGGCTACATGTTTAAACATATGCACCAGAGCTTTTCAGTTGCTGATGATCAATTGGACGTTAGATTTACTTCCCCAGGCAGAATGCTCAAGAATTAAAATGAACTCTTCATTCACCATTGATCTTGAGAGCTGAGAGCCACTTCAGGACATACTGCCCTTGAGTACTGTGTGTTTCTATTGCAGAGCATCCCAGCCCACGTAAAGCCAGTGGAGCATTTGTACCACTTCTGTTTCATTCTAAATAAGGGATTTGTGGGAAGAAAGGGAAAACAATTATGACTTTGTATGGGAAATAATAGATACATAAAAAATTAGGCGTAATATTTTAATTAATGAAAGTTGCAGAGCTTTCAAAAGGCTAGATTATCTAAGGCCCTTCAGAACTGTAAGGTGGCTCAAGGACCTTTCCCCCTCCTCTGTGATTATGAATGTGCGCTTCCTACCACCCTAAAAGTCATACTCTCTTCCCAGCTTGCCTCACTGTCTTCTCATAGGCCACTAAGCTGGTGAGTTTGTGGGAATGAGACTACTAGAGAGGTTGCACTGTCTCCATCTCTGGAGACTTTGAAGACCACACTGGATAAAGGCCTGAATAACCTGATCAGACCTCACTGCTAAACCCACGTTGAGCAGGAGATTGGAATGAAGACCTCCTCAGGTCCTTTCCATTGTCACTAATCCTGTGATCCTTTGCTTTGATTACATTGACTCTTGGAAAGGAAGGGAGGCAACCACCCTGCTGTCCCACTGAGCATCCTTGGAGGCAAATGACAGCATCCAAGGGCCAGGTATTACAATAAGGCCCTCAGCAAACAGGGCCAGCGAAGTGCACATTGTCTATTAAAAAAAAAAGTTTTTTTTTTTTTGGTTTTGAGTGCTGGGGCAGTGGTTGGCTAAAGTGGTGTGATCTCCCACAGACTGAATGAAAGAGTAGTAAACTGGGCATGAACTTGGGATAGGAAGAGAGGGAATGCCCTCCACAGCTGTGAAACAGAAAACACACTTTTTTCT